ACTTTAAGTACGTACGTAGTAAGACGTAAGGGAAGGGACGGTACACGCTACGTCTATCACCACCCACCGACCTACTACCTTGGGCTACTTTTACCTAACGAATAGTGAGATTAACTGTCATATTATAACGCTCCCACGGCTGAAAGGGCAAGCATGTTGGGTGATAGAGTTTCGAACGCGCGACCCATATATTGTGAGTCGAGCGCCCTAACCACTAGGCCATGTCAGGCCTGCTTATGAAATAAAACATATATTGGACTAATATAGAATTGACGTACTTTATGAAAGTAAATTGTATATGTAATACCGTTTATAACGATTAGGGGCTATTAGCTTAAAAAGAGATTGAAATTAACATAAAATACAAACACGATATTTTTAACATGAAGGACATCGTATGCAACACATCGGTTAAAAAGATAGGTCAGAAACACCAAGTTTCAGGCATACCTGAAACTACCCTAATTATAAACTGTGTTGATCAGAGGGAGGTCAACACATCCTGCCTAAGTGGCTACTCTAAACCGAATATCGGGATTCAACTGTCACAGTCAAAATGCCCCACAACTGAAAGTGCAGAGCAAGATCAGCGTTTTATCGCGACTCGAACCTTGGACTTCTGCTTCACATTCCGGCACGCTAATCCGAGGGGGGGGGGGGTAAACTAAAAAATGATCCATATCGAGAAACTTACTGTTCGGCATTACGCGATTTTGAGATTCATTTCAATGTATGTGCGTTTATATCTATATAAATATAATAGTACTGTCTGTTGTATGTCCATGTAACTACTTCGCAGGGTGGGGATGGATCTGCACCCAAATTGGTTTGGAGGTTCATTAGGTCAATGCAGGGGTACATACAAATTTTCAGTTTCACATTTTGTGTTTTGCGGTTTTTATGGGCGTTTTTGCCTTTTTTTTTTAACAATTACATATAGGGGAAACAACTTTTCATGCCCAAAGATAACCTTTCATTAATCATGAATTTATATAACTTACGTCCAGTAAAAGTCACCAATATAAATGTTTTTCTTTATTTTAACAAATTTAAAAGTTTATTCAAATCTTTATTATTGTAGTATAGTTAATTTATTCAAAATAAAAATGTTCTTTTCCTCTCTCTTTTAACTCTTCCGAGTAACGCGTCAGTGCCAAACACATGTTCAAAACTAACGTAAAAATTCCTTAAGTTTTTCTAAGTTACCAATAGATGGCGAACAACGAAATACTTATGCCCTCAAAGAATGAATAATGATATTTAGTCTTTATGCCATAATTAATATTATTTTTTATCAAATTTATACACGACAAATTTATCTAATTAGTTCATTTAAAGTACATTTGCTTGTAAACTATACGAGTCTTTAATCAGTCATAATACAAACTTAATCAGAAAACAGCTTAAAACAAGGGGCTGAGACAAGATAACTGCTTGCATCCGAATATAATATATTCTTAACGTTTATCGAAATGTCTCACATTAATTCTGATTTAGTCAACCTATTATAATATTTATTATAAGCTGAAAAACGTTTATTATTTAATATATGCAATTGATAAAATATCATGATTATGAACATGGAGATAGAAAAATCATGTTTGTCTTTGGTGAAATCAGGATTCTTGAAAATTAATTATTGATTTAATGTAACCTGTAAGCACTAGTCTAATAAATAACACTTATTATGCGACATTTAACAAAGTGTAGTGTGAAATATTACAGACTATTACGTCATATGATAAGATCCTGCACCACCAATCGTTGCCATATACAAAGATATCTCCTTTCTGCAACATAATTTTGCAAATTTTAGTAGTTTACACTAATTCCAACAGATGGCCTACTGGGGAACAATATGATTAAAAAAAAATAATAAATATTGTAATTTAGCTTCAATTATCCCGTGTCGATTATGATTAAAAATAAATCAGGTTATCTTTTAGAAAATTACGTCAGTTAATCGTATGATTTTTTTAGGCAATCTAAATGAGGCTTATATGTTGAAATATGTCCGTAAAAGTTAATAAAGTCTTATTTGCTAATGATTAATATGGTGCAAATCGTTTCAAACAAAAGAAACATTAATAGCTCATAGTGCTTACAGCGATAAGTTTACGTACTTACAACGCTAACATCTGGGGTTTAATTCCCCGCGGTGTACACAGTAGATAGCCCATTGTGGCTTTGCTCTAAAAAACAACAACAAACGAATCACATTTATACCGCGCATATAATAATACCAAATAATTCGGTAACAACAACCACAAATATTACAACCTGTTTTTCAATCATTGATAAAATAAGAACTAACATTTCTGTCTTCATATGTACTATAAAACAAATGTAGTTGCATTAACACAAATTACTTTTCATACCTCTGGTATATCTTCCAAATGACCCAGTCGGAGTGATCCTGAGGACCATCCGGGGCCTTTAAAAATCACTGAAAACTTGTCAGAAAATCCTTTCATCTTGTGAAATATGTTCCATATGTGTATAAGTTGAAGAAACTATAGAATACATTATAGAATATATTAACTATAGAATACATATAAAGTTTACATATTGTAGCTTTGAACTCAAACATTTACAAATCAACGAAAAGGATATATATTCATTGAATATGATTCAATGTTAATTCATCTATCTAATCATCCATACATTTTAGTCGTCCATCATTCATTAGCCTAGAAATTCACAATTCATCTCTCTACATTTTTGTATCCTATGATTCACTTTCATTACTTTATTTTGATCCTCAGTTTATCTTATCAAAATCCAAAGTTCAGATAATGTCACTTGAAACCTATTTGCATAGAGAAAACTGTGAACACAGTGTGTATAGGATTATTAGAGTAAACATAAAATAAAAACTTAGCAAAAGTGTCTAAACATAATTCATGGGGAATAGTGTGAACACAGTGTGTATAGGATTCTTAGAGTAAACATACAATAAAAACTTAGTAAAAGTGTCTAAACATAATTCATGGGGAATAGTGTGAACACAGTATGTATAGGATTATTAAAGTAAACATACAATAAAAAACTTAGCAAAAGTGTCTAAACATAATTCATGGGGAATAGTATGAACACAGTGTGTATAGGATTCTCAGAATAAACATACAATGCAAAATTAGCAAAAGTGTCTAAACATAATTCATGGGGAATAGTGTGAACACAGTGTGTATAGGATTATTAGAGTAAACATAAAATAAAAACTTAGCAAAAGTGTCTAAACATAATTCATGGGGAATAGTGTGAACACAGTGTGTATAGGATTGTGAGAGCAAACATACAATAAAAACTTAGCAAAAGTGTCTAAACATAATTCATGGGGAATAGTGTGAACACAGTGTGTATAGGATTCTCAGAGTAAACATACAATAAAAACTTAGCAAAAGTGTCTAAACATAATTCATGGGGAATAGTGTGAACACAGTGTGTTTAGGATTTTCAGAGTAAACATACAACAAAACGTAACAAAAGAGTGTAAACATATTTCATGTAGAATAGTGTGGATTCGGTGTGTATAGGATTCTCAGAGTAAACATACAACAAAACGTAACACAAG